TGAGTGTGAGCCACATCTGCAGCGAGGAAACGAATACATGGCTTCAGTTCAAGATAAAGTTGCTGTATTAAATATTGTGGGGAAATTCTACAGTCCCCACAACACACCTCTTGGTAACATCTGTTTTATGGTTTAAGGTCATGTGTTTTCATTTGAAGCAATTAAGAGCACAGTAAAATACTTTTTTGTGTGTTTGTTCAGATCACAGATTGATCAACAGAACTCAAGATGTACAAACCCACAAGGTTGAAAAGAAAGAAGTCTGGAGCCACGTCATTGCTGCTCTACAAGCCCAAGTGAAGGTCAAGAAACGCAGGCAGCATCTGAGATCTCACGATAACTGCTTTCTGGGCTCCGATGCAGTGGATGTTATCCAGGATTATCTGACCCAGAATAAGGTTCTTGGAGATGCCCAGGTCTCCAGAGCCATGGTGTCGAGGCTGTGCCAGGTGCTGTTGGACTGTAAGGTGTTTGAGGTGGTGGGAACCAAAGTTTTGGGGAAGACCAGTAAACCAGCAGGCTTCCAGGACAGCAGCAGCAGTCTCTACAGATTCCTAAAGATGGAGGATCCATGCCTGGATGTATTGGAAATGGCGCTTTTCCCTCCCAGTGAAGAGAGTTTGATGAACGTCACACCATGCAGGTGTTTCAGATCACTGTAGATGTTTTATGGTGTAGCATTCAATGATTTTATTCTAAATTTGAATTCTAATGATTTGAGTTATTGACCTTTTTAGGCAGGACATCCTGTTATTCTCTCATAGTACACCTGTGAAACCAGACCACGTGCTGGATCGTCTCATGGAGAAGCTGGACTTGACCGGACTTGTCGGTTCTCCTCCCACTGAATGTCTTCCTCCATCTGGTAAGAGCTTTGTTCAGATTCTGCTTCTGTTTGAGGTACAAAGGCTGTGTTTGTAATGTACCAACTATTTTTCATGTTGCATATTTAATTCAGTGAATGATGTAAATAAACTTTATATTGTAACTTTTATTTCTTATCTATCCATCTCATAATTATTATTCATAGTGTAACCTTATTTTTTTCTTAAAGGGGTCATATGATGTTGCTAAAAAGAACATTATTTGGTGTAATGAAATGTTAATGTACAACAAGCGCTACTCTACACTGCTCAAAACTCACGTTTGAATCATCAGTGGCAAATCCTTTAAAAGTGAAAACGTACTTTTCAGTCAGAACAGCTGGCATTGTAGTCTACTCTCCCAGGATCAGGAAACAGTCCTCCATAAAATGTGCTGCACACATCTGAATATTTGGGTTGAACTGTTCTGGAACAGTGTTGTAAATACAACTTAACCACTGATTTCTAGTCGTGTCCTCTTTTGGAAGACCAAACAAAGTTTCGCTTTCACAACGAAACAGCGTCTCCACAATATGGCGGCGGCGGCGGCAACGACAATACTACAGCGAGAATAAAAGTTACGCCGCCTTTCTTTGTGTGAACATTTGGGCGGCGTTATGCAAATCTTCCCACATCGTGACGTAGACATGTGGGGGCGTGTTAGAACGAGCCGTTTTAGGTAGGTGTGGCTGACTCTTAACTTTTATAAAGAATATCTCTTTGGATTTGAGACTTTAGTCTTTGCAACTTTACAGATCTTCTTTATGCACCAAGAGCTTGTAACACTTCAAAAAGAAAGGAAAAATTTAAATCGCATCATGTGACCCCTTTAAAGAGAATAAAATAATAATAGTTACAAATATTTAAATGCTTTTATGCCTACTATATTATAGACATGTGGTGTGTGTGTATATATATATATATATATATATATATGTATGTATATATTTAACATCAGTAGACCATTAGGTGCAACTTTTACAATATTATTATGAACTATCCTTCAGTGGTCAGAGTGGTGTGGCACGAGCAGACCGTACGGAAGCTGTCTCGGCTGATAGATCTCCCCATGCTGGAGGGAGTGCTGAACTGCGCAAAGATTGTTTCACCCCCCTCTTGTGGCAGTAATAGTGAGCCTGACCTTCTCTACACCAGCAACTACCTCGAACGAGAGGTTCTCAAGGCCTTCAAAGAATCACAGTGAGACATCTTCGTTTAAACTCAAGAAATCAAACCATGAGGCTCAGATAGACCTAATTCGCTTTCCTCCACCCAGAGCTGATGTTTGGCTGTCGGCAGCCATAGACCTGCTGGATTTCCTTCCGGATCAGCTTGTGGTGGAGGTGAGCAGAGAGTTGCCCAAGTTCTCCTGTGAGGAAGAGGATGGCCAGGGGATGGATGAATGTAAACTACTGCTGTTCCATGTGCTGGACAAACACTACGGACACATGGAGCACAAGCCTCTCCTCTGTGACAGCATAGCAGACGTCTACACTGAGATCATGGAACTCCTGAGTGAATAACGCTCCTCAAATGATTCATTCTTTCCAATAAACAACTATGCTTTGTGGCAATTTTTCCTCTGTTTACCTGTATATCTAGTGAATGGGAAGTTTGAACGAGCGTTGGAAGTCCTGCAGCTGACGCTGAAGCTGCTGTCTGCGTCTGCACGTGAGGAACTGCGCAGGCTGCTGGAGTTTATGGCCACAGCTGCAGATGCTGCAAACGTCCGGCTGCACAAAGAAGTAAGGAGTCATAATGCATGTGATGTGCTATTCATACATTTGTCAACTATTTACACTTGTTTTGGATTTTCAGATTGAAAATCGAATGGTTGTGAAGAAGACATTCACCAGAGCCATCATCCAGAGCAAGAGTCTGATGAAAGAAAAGACAGACCTGCTGATGCTCTTCATGCTCGACAACCACCAGGAGATCTTCAAGGTTTCTTTTATTTAATGAATTAAGACAGCACTGGTCAATAATGATGTAATACAGAAATAATTAATTGTGGCTGTTTTGCATCATACTTGCTTTTATTAGATTCCAGGTTCTCTTCACAAACTGGTCAGTGAGAAACTGGATGACATTGTGAAACACCGAGATCCTTCCAAAACTGGTATGATATTTACAGTGTTATTTTAGCATTAAATTAGCTTTTACGTTTTCAGTTTTAGTGTGTATGTGTGTGTATGTATGTGTATATATATAAAAATAATAATTACAGTTAGTAATTTTAGTCATGTATATTTATATATTATTGTGTGACCATTTAACTTTCATAATTTTAATTTGACAAGTGATTTGAAGTATTTGTTTTCTCTGAATATGTTAGATACCCCGTTTTGTCAGCGAGTGCCAAGAGACATGTACACAGAGACCATAAAGGACTCGACTAAAAATGAGCTGTACTCTCTCTTGAAAAGCATTGACGAAAACACCATATACTCCCTGAAAGAGAAGAAACGACTCCTGGCGCAGTTTTATAAGGGCCATCCAGACATCTTCATGCAGTATTTTGGGTCTAGACCATCTAGACTAAGCACATTAAACCTACTTGAAGTGTAAGTTCACTTTGTCCTGTACATGTACTGGTCCTTTTTTGAATGTTTGTATCCAAATAAATAAAAATAAACACATTAAAGTGTCAACTAAGAATGTAGTATGTGTATTTGAATAGCATAAATTTGTTATTCCACTACCTTAGAGGGATAGGCCTACAAGTACATTGCTTCATAAATAATACTAAAAATACTCGTATAGAAGTGGGAATGTTACACAGAAATGAGTTGTTATATATTCATATTATTCACCAAAACCGTGTTAAAACTTGAAATAAAGCAACATGTCAGATGTTAAGACAGAAATTGAGTTTTTTTTTGTTACTTGTAGTAGCCTATATATTATTTGTGATGTATTTTGTTTTGTACTGAGGTACTTATATTTATGTGTGTGTGTATGTATGTGTATATATATATAAAAATAATAATTACAGTTAGTAATTTTAGTCATGTATATTTATATATTATTGTGTGACCATTTAACTTTCATAATTTTAATTTGACAAGTGATTTGAAGTATTTGTTTTCTCTGAATATGTTAGATACCCCGTTTTGTCAGCGAGTGCCAAGAGACATGTACACAGAGACCATAAAGGACTCGACTAAAAATGAGCTGTACTCTCTCTTGAAAAGCATTGACGAAAACACCATATACTCCCTGAAAGAGAAGAAACGACTCCTGGCGCAGTTTTATAAGGGCCATCCAGACATCTTCATGCAGTATTTTGGGTCTAGACCGTCTAGACTAAGCACATTAAACCTACTTGAAGTGTAAGTTCACTTTGTCCTGTACATGTACTGGTCCTTTTTTGAATGTTTGTATCCAAATAAATAAAAAATAAACACATTAAAGTGTCAACTAAGAATGTAGTATGTGTATTTGAATAGCATAAATTTGTTATTCCACTACCTTAGAGGGATAGGCCTACAAGTACATTGCTTCATAAATAATACTAAAAATACTCGTATAGAAGTGGGAATGTTACACAGAAATGAGTTGTTATATATTCATATTATTCACCAAAACCGTGTTAAAACTTGAAATAAAGCAACATGTCAGATGTTAAGACAGAAATTGAGTTTTTTTTTGTTACTTGTAGTAGCCTATATATTATTTGTGATGTATTTTGTTTTGTACTGAGGTACTTATATTTATGTCGTAAGCATTTTTAACTTTATTACATTTGTTAAATGTCTGAGAGCAATTACAAACATCACCTTTTTGCTTTTCTTCTTGTTTAATGGCGAATAACTCCTTCAGGGAGCATTCTTTGTGCTTTTGTCGCGTCGTGCGCCTTTAATGCTGATGCGTCTCCAGAAGCCGCTGTGGCTCCGTCCATTCCTTACGCGTTTCAAACTCTGATTGGCTCTTGATTCCTTGACAGACAAACGCTTGTCCAATCAGCGTCCGATGGGTCGGGACACGTCACATAGAGCGGAGTGCGCTCCCGGCGCCTGTTCTCAGATCAGTTCATCGTGCGCACAGCGTCGTAGGTTCCCACAGTGAGTAGATTAACTTAACTGTTCCTGGATCAGCTCTAGCGCTCAAATCTCGCCGGGGTTGATGCGGAATTCTGGGCGCAGCTCAAATCTCCTCCCCGGATGCCCCTGAAACCCTAACACACAGTCATCGCCACACATACAGTTTTTTGGGGGGTTGTTCATGGTGCGGATCTGCGAGAGGAGGATGAAGTTTTTGGTGGCAGTCACATTGATCGTCGGCTCGGTGATTTTCCTGCTTTTCCCGAGCGGGTCAGAAGCGGATGAGAAGAAAAAAGGTCCGAAAGTCACGGCCAAGGTACAAAAACGCTGCTCTGCTCTACATTCACTGCAACGCCGTGTCTGGCCTATTGCACACAAATAGCATAATTCGAATTCCAGTTCGAATCTAATGTTGCGTTTACACTTAGATTCAGCGTGCTAGATTCGCGTAGCCTAGTGGTTTTTGCTTGAAAACCATCTAGTTTTTTTTTTTGTTTTTATTGTGCATTTACCAAAGTTCATTGGTGTTGTGCAAAATATACAAAGGCTGGTAACACCACGCAAATGTTTTGTAATTTAATCAAAAAGTGTTGCATCAATATTTGTCTAAATATGGTTTATGGTAGCTTATGAAGTGGATTCACCATAGTGCATGTGCAGAACTGATTTGTGATGTGACTCTGGATTTGGTCGTTTTCACAGGTGTACTTTGACATGAGGATCGGTGATGAGGATGCAGGACGGATTGTCATTGGACTCTTTGGAAAGACCGTCCCTAAAACGACAGAAAATTTCCTCCAGCTGGCTACTGGAGAGGTGAAGTTTTTTTTCTTCTTCTTCCTCTGCCATTCAGTATTCACGATTCACAGTAAAAATGAGTCTAAATGCATGCAATTTTGATTTCCAGAAAGGATTTGGTTACAAGGGCAGCAAGTTCCACCGAGTGATCAAAGACTTCATGATCCAGGGAGGAGATTTCACTAGCGGAGATGGAACTGGAGGTATCAAAATACTAAAAACACTTTTGTTTAAGATGAATACCATGTTTTATCTTAATGTTCTTAAGTATGTTGAGGTCTCTCAGATGCCAGACGTGAGCGATAAACCTCAGTTTATTATTTCAAGAAGTATTACCTGATTTCTACCACCTCTTTATGTAGGTAAGAGCATCTATGGAGACCGTTTCCCTGATGAGAACTTCAAGCTGAAGCATTATGGTCCTGGTTGGCTCAGCATGGCCAATGCCGGGAAAGACACCAACGGCTCCCAGTTCTTCATCACCACGATCCAGACGCCATGGCTGGATGGCAAACATGTTGTGTTTGGCAAAATCTTGGAGGGCATGGTGAGTATCTCAACTTTATTCATCTAAAAAGAAGTTATGTTCCTTCATACTCATAGAAGTGCATTTACTCCAGTGATTATGCTACTTGTCCTGCTGTCTTCCAGGATGTGGTGAGAAAGATTGAGAGCACAAAGACAGATGGGCGAGATAAACCTCTCAAGGACGTCATTGTCCACGACTGCGGCAAGATCGAGGTGGAAAACCCTTTCGCAGTAGCTAAAGAGTAATTTAAGTTTGGGGGGACAACAGGACTCTGGGTTTAAGGGGATTGAATTGGGTGCTAGTGGGAGCAGAGTGTGTGTGTATGTGCTTATTGGAGCTCCGCCCCCTCGCCGGGACGTCACACACCAGTCCTGATCCGCAGAGCGGCATATCCTGGGTCCAGTTCCAACCAGCATTCCACAGGGTCAGATTCCTGACCCACTTCAACCTGCTTTTGTAAACATATCTTCAATAAAGGACCCAGGTTTTCTTAATGCTGTTGTGTTGCTTGAAGAAATGCCTTGCCTTTTTGACCATGAACAAATCAGACACTCTCTTTATTCAATAGAAATACCCTTAGCAAAAATGCTTAAGTTGTTTTATAGTACAGGTAAATATCTTGGCACAGTAAAACAAAATCAGTGACAACCTGGGATTGCAATGTGAATTTCATGAAGAAATGTCCAGTTTGTTTTACACTGAAATAAAAAAAATACATATACACACATAGCATGTACATAATGAATACATAAAAGGAATGCATAAGAAATTAAGGCAAAAAAAGTTTAAATGTAATATTTTTAGGACCATTAAGATTTTTTTATGACAAAAATTAAGCACAAATGAGATTCTAGTAAGGTAACAAAAAAAAAAACTTTAAAAAAGTATAAATCAAATTAAGAACAACATATTGCAATGATGTATAACTGCATTTGGATTTTATTTAAAATTTAAATATTTTTGTGCCTTATATGGTTGGCAGGGCTTCTTAGAAAAAATGCACATTTTCAGAAATATATTAAATGAATGCCAAATAAATGCAAAAAAAAAAAAAATGTTTAGGTCCATTAAGATTTTTGTGACTATTACAATTAAGCACAAAAACTTGATTTTAATATGGTAAAAAAAAACTACAGAAATTAGCATAATTTAAATTCAGAACAACATATTGCAATGATGAATAATTGCAGCTGTACTTTAAATATTTACATTTAAATCCATTTTTTGTGCATGGTAAAGTTGGCAGTCAAAATAGTCTTTAATTTTTTTTTAACTAAGCTTTTGAGATGACAATGACCTAGACCGTTTTTGTAAGATTCACATAAAATATGACAAACCTAAAGAGAAAAGATTCAGTCGATATAAACATGTGAAGGCACATTTAAAGCAGATGGAGTTGCTAGGCAACACTGCAGTGATTGCACTCATATTCTCTGTGACTCTGGCAGTGAGCTGATATTGCTTCTGTTTATGGTAATAGTGGGGATTTTGGGATGCACGGGCAGCTCTGGTGCACAGGTGAGGCTGCTGGGTTTAGCGCAGCTCTTTTTGAAACTCACTTTGACGTCTCTGGGGTACAAACCCTGCAGGACGCCGGCCACCACGATATCAGGGAGGTCTATGGGAAAATGACCACAATAGAACGTTTCATTTGGGTGTAAAAAAAAAAACATTCTGTAATGACAATCACAGTAATCTGTACGGTTTACCTGATCTGGATTCAAGCTGGTAAGGGTCAGCCGAGAAACCAACTACTCGCTGATTGAATAACTTAAAACTACAGGAAGACAATGTACAATGTTCAGAATCAATTGATCTAAATTTGATTCCAAGTTTATGAACAGGTTAAAAGAGATGAGGATGAACATACCTGTATCCCTGCTCTTGACAGTCATCTGACTGGTTTTCACTGAAATATGATGATTAGGGCATTAATAACAAGCCTGAAAGCACTTTTAATATTATTACTATGTAGACTACTTATTGTTATTGTTAATTCATTAGCTGAATTTCCATAGTAAATATTTAGATACATTGCTAAATTACAATTATGGTGCTCCAGTGAGATAAATACATACTCAGAGCTGCAGTTCTTGCTCGCCGAATGAAAATGTTTGACCTGCAGGAAATCCAGGAGCTCTTGAGGAACAACGTCATTTCGATACAGAATCTCCTGCAATTGGCAGCCAATAAAAAAAGTTACAACCTCAGTATGACATTATACTGAATTTATTAATTCAATTAAATCATTAAAATGATGATTGATATATTGCAACATAGTTTCATACATTAGAATACACTTTCACACACTTAACAAGTTGAATATGATAAGGTCAATACTACACTCTAAAAAATGCTGGGTTAAATACAATCCAGTGCTGGGTCAAATATGGACAAACCCAGCAATTGGGTTGTTTTGACCCAGCGGTTGGCATTTTTTTAGAGAGTACACACACACATACATATATATATATATGTTCCTGTGGCTAAGTGGTAGAGTATTGCGTTAGTAGCGCAAAAGGTCATGGGTTCAATTCCCAGGGAACACACATACTGATAAAAAAAATGTATAGCCTGAATGCACTGTAAGTCGTCTGCTAAATGTATATATATATATATATATATATACACTGTGTATGTATATATATACAGCAGGTAAAATAAGTATTGAACACATCACCATTTTTCTCAGTAAATATATTTCCAAAGTTGCTGCTGACATGAAATTTTCACCATATGTCAGTAACAACCTAAATAATCCATACATGCAAAGAAAACAAAACAAATAAGTTCATTCAGAAATTAAGTGCAGTGTAATAAAATGGAATGACCCAGGGAAAAAGTGTTGAACACGCTTACTGAAATTGATTTAATACTTCGTACAAATATATATATATATATATATATATATATATATATATATATATATATATTATATAAAAATATATATATATATATATATATATATATATGAAATGTAAAATATATGTAATTTATTCATGTGATGCAAAGCTGAAATGCATCATTCCTCCAGTCTTCAGTGTCACATGATCCTTCAGAAATCATTCTAATATTTGCCGCAAGAAACATTTCTGAATATTATCAGTTGAAAACAGTTGTGCTGCTTCATATTTTTGTGAAAACCATGATATATATTTTTTTCAGGATTTGTTAATGGATAGAAAGTTCAAAAGAACAGCATTTATTTGAAATTGAAAATTATTATTAGCGTCTTTACTTTACTTTTGATCAACTTAATGCATTCTTGTTGAATAAAAGTATTAATTTCTTAATATTCTTTATTTCACATAATTACATTCTAATCTACATTCTAAACAAGGCGATGAGGGGTAAGGGTTATATATTTGGAATAGCATAATACTCAACAACAATATGTTGTACATATACTGTGCTTGGTGTGTGATTTTTCTGTATATACTGAATACTCTGATTTCCAAATACATTTGCTCTTTCAGAACACAGGTCTTCATAAAGGTTAAAAACTAACCAAAGTGTGCTTTATACAAAAAGATACAATACAGTATCCCATAATATGTCCCCCCCCCATAAGTACTATTTAAAATATATTATTGGGAACTATTAAAACTATTAAAAATTGATTTCGGTAATTGAAATAAAGCTGAAATAAAAAAATTAAAATAGAAATGTTGCAACTAATTGAAACAAGTTTAAGTACCAACATGGAAATCGAAAATAAATGAAAGCTAAATCAAAATAAAATCACACAATAAAATTACTCGTATAAATAAATTAAAGCTAAATCAAAAAATATCACACAATAAAATGATTAAAACCTAAACTAAAATTAAAATGTATTCTGAAAATACAAAAATTAAAGCTAAATATGAATAAATACTCAAATTAATAGTATAATAAATACTTTATAGCATAAAACAATAAGATATAATAGCAATAAAATAATAAAATATATCAATATAATATAAACACTAAATACATCTCTACCTGGATGTAGTCCTCCAGTTCCTGTCGTCTTTGCTCCAGCGGTTTGGTTCGCAGGTGCTGGTTTCTCTTACTGGGGAAATCAGGAGCTCGCAGAATCTTCTTCAGCTTCCGGTGAAGCGTCTGAAATTCACTGTGTCGCCGCAAAACAAAGTGTTTCCTTCCATTGAAGAGAATCTCCAATCTGAAGAGCTGAAAAAACATAAAACCTTGTGTCATAAACAGTGTTGGGGGTAACACATTTCAAGTAACGCGAGTTACGTAATCAGATTACTTTTTCAAGTAACTGGTAAAGTAACGCATTACTTTTTAATTTACAAGATCATATCTGAGTTACTTTTTCAAATAAGTATCGCAAGTTACTTTTCCCCCCCAATGTATTTACTGACAGCTCTCCTGTCCTCATGTTGAGAGAAATCAGAAGATGTTACTGTAGTTCTAAAATAAATATGAATATGCATTAATCTCACCCACAAAAAAAACACAGATTCAGTATTCCTCAAAATGAATAAAAATAATGCAACTCGGAATATGACGCAAACCTGCAATAATTAAATGTTAAACAACACAAATATCCTTTATGTTTTCTATTAACCAATGTCTTTGCTTCTGACCTTCGATGATCCAGTTCAACCCTACTAATAAGCAAAAATTACTCTAGACAAACATTTGTGTCTCTCTTTTTATTGCTGAAGTGTTGAAATGTCTTCCTCTGCATTCTACTGTACGGACTTACATTTACTTTCCCTTCAGCCTGAGGCGTATTCATTTCACTTTTGGTGTGAAAAGGCTTTTATATTTGCCAAAAATATGACTTTTTTATTTTAAAACAATAATTAAATGTTAAACAACACAAATATCCTTTATGTTTTCTATTAACCAATGTCTTTGCTTCTGACCTTCGATGATCCAGTTCAACCCTACTAATAAGCAAAAATTACTCTAGACAAACATTTGTGTCTCTCTTTTTATTGCTGAAGTGTGTTGAAATTTCTTTAAATAGAAATGCTGTACGGACGTAAATTTACTTTCCCTTCAGCCTGAGGTTTATTCATTTCACTTTTGGTGTGAAAAGGCTTTTATATTTGCCAAAAATATTACTTTTTTATTTTAAAAACAAACAAGCAAGCCCTGTCCAGATTTAAAAAGTAACGCAAAAGTAACGTAACACATTACTTTCCATAAAAAGTAACGTAATTAGTTACTTTTTTATGGAGTAACGCAATATTGTAATGCATTACTTTTAAAAGCAACTTTCCCCAACACTGGGCATAAAACCTGAGAACACACAGAACAGACGTCAATAAAACGTATTGTTATTATAAGGGTTGTTCGCCTTATAATAAAGGTAGCTCTAACATGGTCATGACAGGTTAAAACAGCAGATATTAATATTTAACCAAACTTTAATTTTTCTTGCCTCCAAAAATCATTCAGAAATACTATGACTATTCACAGTGAATGACCTCATCAAACCCACACACATATGACCGTGCAACAGTTTAGTCTTATATAGGTCATGAGTTTCCACAGGTGTGGCCTTCTTCAGGTTAGATCGCACCCTGAAGCATTGAGTGTCTCTATAAAGTCTCATGGGTCGTTATTGTCCACAACACAAAGAAATGTAACGTGACAGAACAACAGTGTTTTACAGTGTCATAAATCTGAGCTCCATGTGAGTGACCTTTCATCGAAAATTAGAAGCGACTGGGAATCAAAAAACATGATGTTGACTTCATTTACAGTATTTATTGACTTTATGACTCTGAGAGGAGAGATGTTAAAAATGTGAAATAACTATTACAAAATAACTATTTTTGGCCGATTAATCGCATCCAAAATAAAAGTTTTTTAAGTGCATAATATATGTGTGTGTACAGTGTATATTTACTGTGTATGCATGCATGTATATATTTAAGAAAAATATGTTATGTTTATATATATTTATATATAATATAAATTATATGAGTATAAATATATACACATGTAAATACATGTCAATATATTCTAAATGTATACTGTATGTGTGTGTGTGTTTATGTATATATAATAAATACACACAGTACACACACGCACATATATTATATAAACAAAAACTTTTATTTTGGATGCGATTAATCATGATTAATCGTTGCCCAGTACTACTTTAAATACTATTTTTAAAACATAGTATGCAGAATTGAGTGTATACTACACAGTATGCATTGAGTTAGTGCTATTTTGCCAGTGTAACCTTGGTGAGTGTGTGTGTGTGTGTGTGTGTGTGTGTGTGTGTGTGCATGGGGGGGGGGGGGGATCTGAGAATTAGCAGTTTCCCGTTTTCCACCCATAACAAAGGAACACAGAACATTCAGTTCCACCAAATATTTCCCACTGTGAGCTCAATCGTTCGCTTCTCAATACCTCAAATATTTTCTGGGTTGAGGGAGAGGGAGAGGGAATTCAAAATGATTGTGTCTCAAGCATGTTTGGACAAGTCGGTGCTCAAGCATGCTCAACATGGTGATGGGAACTATCCATGCAATGTTATGAACTGAAAAAACTGAGGAAATCAAGAGCTGTTCAAGAATTTAAAGGGACAGTTCACCCAAAAAATGATAATCATAAATCCTTTACTCACCTTCATGTCATTCCAAACCTGTATGATGTCCTTTCTTCCATTAATCACAAAAGATGATGCTAGACAATGTTCACACTGCTCTTTTCCATAAAATGAAAGAGAAAATATTGAACACCATTCATGTGCATTTATATAAATATACATTTATTCATAAATATTAATATATTTATTAAAAATATAAATGTAAATAAATATATTAAATACATTATATTAAAATAGTAATGCTCTTTTCCATACAATAAAATATACTATTAAATATATACTATTTAATTAATATAAATATACATTTATTTATATTATAATATAAATATGTAAATAAACATTAAAAATGAATAAAATTAAAAAATTAATTAAATATATTATATACTGTGTATTATATACTATATTATATATCATATACTAAATGTATTCATATATATATATATATATTCTTTTAAAATAAATGCATAAGTAATATTTATACATCTAAATACATTTTAATAAAAAATAAAATATATTAAATATGAATGGACTTTTCCATACTACATTTATTGTTACAATATTACATTTATTATAATATGTATTATAATATGTAAATGATATATGTATAATAATACATATATCATAATCATAAATAATAGCTTAAGTAAAAATGGCTTATATATATATATATACATTATAAAAAAAATGTGTGTGTGTGTGTATATATAAAAGCCATTTTTACTTAAGCTATTATTATTAAAGACAGAGTAAATGACAGAATTTACATTTTAAGTTGAACTATCCCTTTAAATCAGTGAATGCTTCACAAGCTTTATGGGTAACGTGAGTTAGTGCAGGCGGGTGGAGAGCATTCCTGGTTAACAATGAAGACACATGTCTCTTTTGGGCACCAGATTGTGTCGTGTTTATCGGGGTCACGAGGACTCAATTTAAACCCAGTTCCTCCCTCTCTCGATCTTATAGAGCTCTCATTGTTGCTGATATTCAGGGCTGGATATTTCCACTAAGATGAAGAGCTCTCTTTCTCTATTCATCTCCAGTACAGTAATACTCATATCGCTCTCGACGGTGACCTCTGACCTCCATTCTTCTGAACTTCTACAGCTCTCAGTGTTCAGAGATGTTTTCATGGCCTGCTCAGTCTGACAGCTTTGACTGACATCAGCATGTTGCCGTGTGGTTGTGATTCAGCTGTGATCTAGCTGTTCTACTTTTAGCATCACACACACAAACAACTGCTCCCGTTAAACCCTCTCATTCGGACCACAAAAACTCCTCATGCAGCTCCACGTTATCCATTTCTGATAATATACTGGACAAATCCACTGATGCGAATGATGTAAGTAAAATAAGTAAAATGCACACATTCTAGTTTGGTCAGTTGATTTGGCTCCATCTGATCTGATAAATGAACTAAAACTACATCATGTTATCTAGACCAGTGGTTCCCAACCCTGGTCCTTGAGGCACCCCAACACTGCGCATTTTGCATGTCTCCTTTCTCTGACACTCCAGTTTCAGGTCTTGGAGTCTTTACTAATGAGCTGATGACCTGAATCAGGTGTGTTTGATTAAGGAGACATGCAAAACGTGCAGTGTTGGGGTGCCTCCAGTACCAGGGTTGGGAACCACTGATCTAGATGACACACAAAACATTTTTACACAACTTTTATGACTCTCTTTCCTTCACTCTTGGCTGGGTCGGTTTTGGTTGCAGCTGGACAGTCCTACAGAACTGGCTCAGACTCCACGCAACACACTGGTTCTACTATTTATCTATGGAAGCTTATTTCCACCACAGAATAAAAAATATAAAAAAAGGTCATTGCGACTTTTTATCTCCCAATTCTGACAATTTTTTTCTCACAAGTGCGACTATTACTCACAATTTCAGTGATTTGTTTTTCTCAGAATTCTGAGTTCACATTTCAGAATTCTCTATTTTTTTTCTCTGAATTCTGAGTTTACATCCCGCAATTCAGTTTTTTTTTCTTCCCCCCCCCCCAAACTTTTTGACACCTAACCTGACTACATGCACATACAAAATTGTGAGGAAAAAAGTCAGAATTGTGAGATGTAAACTCAAAATTCTGAAAAAATTGCAAGAATTCTATGAAAAAAATTCAGAACTGGGAGATACAAACTTCGCAATTCTGAGAAAAAAGTCAGAACTGCAAGATGTAAACTCAAAATTCTGAGAAAAAAGTTATAATTGTGAGATGTAAACTCTGAACTCAATGAAAAAAGTCAGAATTGCGATATAAACTTTGCAATTCTGAGAAAAAAGTCAGAACTGCAAGATAAATGCGCAATTGAAAAGACATAAAATCACAATTCTCTGAAAAAAGTCAGAGTTGCGAGACGTAAACTTAAAATTCTGTGAAAAAAATCAGAATGGCAAGATGCAAGCTTTCAATTATGAGATATAAACTTGCAATTCTGAGACAAAAGTTAGAATTGCGAGATGTAAACTTGCAATAGCAAGATATAAACACATTTTGGAGAAAAAATTCAGTTGTGAGGAAAAAAAATTAACTTAAATTATTTTAGCAAATGGCTGCAATATAACAAAGAGTGAAAAATTTAAGGGGGTCTGAATACTTTCCGTACCCACTGTAAACTCACAATTCTGTGAAAAAAGTGAATTACAAGCTTGCAATTGAGAGATATAAACTCATAATTCTCAGAAAAAAGTCAGAAATGGGAGATGTTAACTCACAATTATGAGATATTAACTCAGAAAAAAAGTCTGAATTGCGGCATGTAAACTTGCAATTGCGAGATATAAACTGCTATTTCTGAGATAAAAGTAAGAAAATATTTTAAATCTAAAAAATGTGCAATTACTTTTGTAATCTTTTTCTTTTGCAGTGCTATGAATGATGTAAAACACTCAAATCATCCAGAATCAAGAGTAAAAACATTCAGATCTCTTGTTTAAATGAGTCGAGATGTTTCAAAAGGTTTTGCGTGGAACATGTCCCGTCATATCCCTGCTCTATTCATTCCTGTAAGTGATGACAGTAGCGCAGAGCTGCTGGAGTGCATCTCTCTTCTTTAGAATTGCATATTTCATCATTTTTCCTTAGGCGTTAAAATCGGCTGGAGACACACCTTTGAAGGAAGCACTTAACAAACTTGTTACCTTATACTTTATTGCATTTAAAAAGTCCTTTGTCTATCGTTCCAGTACTCTGAAATCACTTAAGCTTGTATTTTTCTCATTTTTTGGTCCCTAGTAATCAGAACATTGCTGCAATGCAATCAAACCTTCTATCAACGTTACGACAACATGCTGAAAATATAAGTGCACAATAAATTAGCCATCCCTAGTCAGAAGGTCATCTAAATGTAGAGCAGCAATGTTGCTACAGCTCTCTTGCATATTACATTTCTACATTGTTACAACCAACGTTGCAATAGTACAAAAAAAGAATTGCCACAATATAAATGTTTGTTGTGTTGTCTGCTAAATGAATAAATGCTTCTACCTTTTGTTATGCATGCATTTAAAACAGAATATGCATTCTAATACATTCTATTTAAGCAATCATTTTACATTTTTGTCACAGAATGTTGACCGTGCATCTTAGAACTCGTACAGTATGTTTAAGAGATTATTGCATGAAGAATAACCTGATTACATAATCTAAAATAAAAGTATAGTCTCTATAGTATCATTATAGAAATAACTATAGACTGATATCTCATTCATTTAATATAAGCTAGCAGCAATAACCGTATGGTGTTTTGGGTGCACCTGTGGTTAGCATAATAAGTTGGGAAGCCTCACGGAATGACTAATAATAATAATGATCAGCTTTAAAAATTAATGACATCTCCAAAAGCACGTGCAAAACGTCAAACGCACGTTCGCGCTGTATAATAGAGCAGCCCCGAGGAACCACGAATATAAAGCAGTTTCTGTTTGACTTACTTTGCGCAACTTTCCCGTCTCGTCCACTTCCCTCGTGAGAGCCGGAATAAAGACCTCGATGACTGGAGACACACACTGATGATCCAACATCTCCAGCACAAGCGCGCAGATCACTGACTGACCTGAAGACCAGCTGCGATCTGCTGGAGCTGAACGATGAGCTCCTCCTCCAAACAAACACACAGACAGCTGAGAGAAATAAAGCCATTCATACAGAACGGCATGATTTTGAAGATTAACTGTTAAGGACCTGGTAAATCGTGTTTATTCGTTTATTAATTAATCGAATACTATATAATACAATTACAATAGGAAAAACACTGATATTACAGGTAAACCAACTGCCAGAGAGTAAAAAAAAAATTATATATATATAAATTGACCGATTAAAAATATAAATGACATAATCGTTATTTTTTTGTCCAATCAAATGCTCTCTAGAATGAGAATGTCCCGCCCCCTACTTCCGGACTCAAATAAAACCTTTTTATTTGAGGGCTAAAGAACCCAGTATCTGTTTGTCATTTACTCGCGAGTCAGTCATGAGATCTCTCATTTATAAACACTTACCATCTTTAATAAACTCTATAATAGACTTCGGAGAAGTTACATAAAAGGATATTTGTGTAATTTCTCTACGGAGAGTACAAATGCACATTTATGTGTTTCAAAGAATGACATTGACGGTAATAACTATTTAAGTGCTAAGTATTTCAAATAGAATGACTATTTTATTCATCAGCACTAAACCTGGTGTCCTCATTTCTTGTCTGAATGGAGAACAAATGAGAAGCACATGATTTCCCGTGACACACAAGCATTCATGCATTTACTGCTGACTAAACACAGTCCAGTCTGAAGATAAGCCACATTCCTGATGCTCAAGTGTTATCCCAGCATTCCCACTTCATCCCAACTCTTTAATTCAATGCTCCGAGTTCATTCTCATCCAGAAAGAGCAACTGAACCCTGGACATTTTTTGACCTACAGATTGCTGGAAAGTAAACAAGCTGAAAAGCTTAATGATTAATGAGTTTATAGTTGAAAGGCTTTTGGTGAAAGATTAATTCCGCTGCAGCTGTAATCATTTTACTGCAGTAAACCTTCAATGAGGTCACATGAAAATGTCTCATCAAAGCTCAGAGAAACAATCATTTACGATAAGAGTATTAAATGAGAGCTGGTGCTTACAGCACAGAACAAAGACTAAAAGAGGGAAGATACAGGATCACTTCCTTTTTTTAGTCCACTGTGTGGATGTGGATCTTTTGGCTCAAGGTTTCAGCAAAGACAACTATTAAGAAGTATTTTATGCAACCATGACCAGTGTTGTTATTGTGTTTTTTAAAAATTATTATTATTAAAATAAAGCTGAAATCAAATATAATAGATGAAAATAAAAATTAGAAGACTAAAACCAAAACTGAAATCAAATGTTTAAAATACTAAAATCACAAAAAATTATATTCACCCTTTAACTGTCACGCCCCCCCCCCCCCCCCCCCCCCCCCCCCCCCCCCCCCCCCCCCCCCCCCCC